TCTAAATGTTATTATAGGTTTTAAAATGCTGTCTTTAAAATATTAAACATAACTTTATTTGGATTTGTAACATTAGGAAACATCCCCATTAGGCTTTGGTTTGTGGGAGATTCAAACACAAAATCTTATATTTAACAGTAAGTGAATTAAATATTGAACTAGTACTTAGTGTTTAGTAGATAAATCATAATATTTCATACATTACCATCACCTTATCCCTTATGGAGGGTCGGCACAGTATGTACTGCTCTTCTATACATCTCTTTCAGCCGTCATATCTGAATCCACTCCTTTAAGCATACCCTTTTTCACACAATCCATCCATACTTTCTTCGGTCTTCCTCTACCTTTGTAGCTATCCTCATTCATTCTTAACACTTTCTGGTTTATGTCCCCATTGTCTCGTCACATAACTTGTCAATATAGTAGTATTAAATATTATTATTAAATAATAATATTTCATACAATATCTGTTAAATATCAAACAGATTAAGTAACATTGAATAGTTGACTTGACATGTTCATTTTAATGCAAACTGTTAATTTTTATCTTATCTGCATTTAGCTTGTTTGTTCTTAAAGTTAATGAATTGGTAATGTAATGAGTAATAATTATTTAGCTTTTTGGTTTTTTACATTGATTGTAATTTTGTTTACATTTATACTGTGTAGGAAAGAAGTATTTAAATAACTAAAAAATTCCTGGAATGATTTTAAAAATTCTTTCACCATTATAAAGGTAATTTATCTGTGAGTAACATAATCGGATGAAGTCACAAGCAACAGTTAGTATATTGTAATTCTCCCACACACTTTCAATTGGAAATGAAGAAAAATGTTGTATGTTTTCCCTTCGCCCGATAAACCCACTAATTGATCAACAGACCGTTTTGTTGATTCACCGTTCAACTAAACAATAGGTTTTGTTTCCCATTTCATTGGATTTCATCAGCCCAATGGGAAACAAACAATAAAGTATTAGGTATCTAAACACTGTGAGAGTTTTTTGTGTCAACTTGCCAAGTTTAGTTACATAAACAAGATATGGTGGAAATATGCAAATTTTATGGACCGACTTCTGATAAGGCCAAACAAGTGCATATGTAAATTTAGTTCTCTTTAACTGATAGAGGTTTGAGGTTACTTTTGTAGCACAGGTATTCTTTTTACAAAATACTATTGAATGTATATTTATCAGATTATAAATACAACAGATAATTTATTAAATCACTAGTTTTCGCCCCCGACTTCATGCTTGTTACAATAAAACTTAAATCAACCATGAATATACTCTTGAAATATCTAACAGTGGAATGACTATACAACTATACTAAAAATAGACTAACAATGAATTTAACAGTGGTAGAGCCCGCTTTAACATCTTCGCACGAATGTGTCGGCTAGATCGGTATAATACGACGACCGCACAGAAAACAGGCGTGAAGTGGAAGCAATTCCTCGTTTCATCTGAGAAGTGAGGTGCCAGAGGCCTAGTTTTAGTCCCTTTCCACCTTTTTCTTAAGAGGAAAGGATGGGAAGGAAAAGTTGATTTGACAGTGGAGGACACGCATAGAAAGGGGAATTGTCCTCTTTATGTATTTATGTCTCCTCCTTCGTCAATTAAGAGTAGGCAATGCATCTGCAATTGCGGATGTTTATGGGCAGCGGTCACTTTCCATTTCGGTGGATTCAGGTGGCCGCTTGCTCGTTTGCCACCTTATATTATAAAAAAAAATAGATATTGGATTCAAATGTCTATTTTTTATTTTTACTCAAGCTATTATGACTCAAATTTTATCATGGCTTGTAGTTAGCTAGAACAATTGTCTAGTGCCCACTATAGTAGGAATACCATTTACTGTACAGTGACACATTTAAGGCAAGCAGCCTTTTTTTTGGATAGCATTGTACTTGTCAAATTTGCGGTTTTAAGAGATCTTTTTTGGAAATTGTCAATGGTCAATTATGGTGTGCAAATGTGAAGACATTTGACAAAAGTAACGAATTTAATGTATTAGGTTTTGGTGTATATTTTTAAGACTTAAAACATAGGGCAAGGCTTTAAAAACATTTCTTTCAAGTTATTGTCCATGTATAATACTTTCGTATTGTGTTTTATGATGAAATTTAATTTGTGATAAGGTTTTAACATATTTTACATAATTTAAATAATCATGTAATTCATTAGTTCATTATTCATATCGCGATTTGATATCTAGACATTTTCGTGATGTAACTTTAATGAGAGTATTTGAAAGTAATGTCACATTAATTTAATGTATTTTTACTGAAGGAGAATATGACCTTATTTTTACAATTCGAGCCACAAGAAATGCTTTCAACTTCAGAGTGTCCTGAATAATTCTTAAAAGTAAAAATGATCTCAAATCATTCTGTTACTTATGACCTAATAATACCTAAATTGAGTAAAAGTTTGACAAATTTTATTTCCTGGAGATTTCCGGCGATAATGCAAATATATGTTTATTATTAGTATATGCTACATAATTGTTGCGAGCATTTTTTCAAATCAAATACTTATATTACCATCACCAGTTCACTATACGTCCTATTAAGGGCTCGGAGCCTTCCCAAAAAAGGCGTGACTAGGCCATAGACAAACGCTGGCTCACTGCGGTTTGACTTCACACATATCTTTGAATTTCTTTGCCGATGTGTGCAGGCATCACAATGTTTTCCCTCATAAGAATACTTATATATGAGAATCATTTTTATGTTTTTACAAAATTTCAAAGTAATGTATATTACCTAGTTGTTAATTTATGTATTGTTGTTTTCCAGATGACCCGCAGTTTAGTGAGCTGGTATGGCAGGCGGAGGTGGCCATTGACAATGGCATCTACCCAGAGAGGATATACCAGGGCTCTAGTGGATCTTATTTCGTCAAGAATCCTGGTGGTGTGAGTATTTAATTAGATTTATTAATTACTAGCTTTTGATTTTAAAGTAGCCTATGTGTTTTTCCCGACTATGCTCTACATCTATGCCGAATTTTATTGAGACTGAGCCGTTTAGGCTACAAACTCATAACAAATATCTATACAACCTTTCAAACTTTCGCATTTATTAGTAAGAGAGAATGTTATAATTGGATTGTATGTGTAGTCTAGCTTTAAAACTTGGTTAAATAGACAGATTTTTTTTCATAACATAAGTCAATTTTGAAATGTATTTCTAGTTTCCTTCAAACAATTTGTTTCAATGCCCTTCAGTATCTTTATGTCCAATTTAATTGGTCATTTGATAAAAAATCTCGCACTTAAAGGTCATAGACATCAAGATTATTTCTTACTATTATAAATACGAAAGTTTAGATGTATGGATATTTGTTAGTGTTTACCACCTAAACGACTGAACAGATTTTAATAAAATTTGGTATAGATTTATAGCAAAGTCCGGAACAACACATAGGCTACTTACTTTAGCTTTTATTTCCACGTCGACTGAATCGTGTGTGAAAGGTAGTAGATTTTTGTAACGAAATTTTATTGCTTGATGGCCCAATGACTATCCCCCCATCTTCATACACTTTGAATATACTACTGAAGTCAATGTCTTCCGATTTTTTACTGCTTAAATTAATAAATAAAATTATCTCAGTTTAGTGCAAGAGTACCGAATGACCTTACTCATAAAACAATATGCGTAAATAACTCGTTTTGAAATTCAATAAAACTAGTTACGAGTTGAAAGCAATTCATTAATTTTTTTTTTCGAAATTCCACACATATTTTGTAATAAACCTGTTTTCAAATTATAGTAAACCAGAATGTAAATGTTGTATTTTGAGATTGTGACGACTTTATCGTAGACTAGCTGTTACTCGTGATATCGCCCGCGTGAAATTAAACTATAAAAAAACAGCCTATGTTGTCCAGTCGTTTTTAGTTATTTAAAAACATAGAAAAATACAATTCTTTCCTCTTTATAATATTAGTATAGAAGAGGTAAATGTAGTTTTTTTTTTTCATTGTGACTTGACTTTGACCCATAAATATTTTAAGATAATTAATTTCTTTATCCTGCTTGTCTCTTGAACACTGGCTGTATTATATCATTGAGGAAAAGGCACACTTTACTTTGTTTAAAGTAACTGTAAAACAATTGCTTGTGAGAATCTTTTAGCGTTGAACCGAATTATATTCATTAGTAATCTTAGCGTCGGTTTCTACAGACGCACTGAAACAAAAATAATTGTCATATCTTTTATTATTGTTTAACTAGCTTTTCCCGTGCGTCTTCATCCGCATGAAATCATGAAAGTTTTATTTTATTGTTTACATTTGTGAAATTATCAATAGCAAATGTTAAAATGATATGACATTACAAACTTTGGCAATCTTGCTTCCTTGATGTTGGCAGCAACTTATGGTCCTTTTCCCACATTGGGGATTTTTCCAAAATATTTACCCCCTAAGTTTAATAGCGTGAAAATATATAGCCCAAAGCGTGACGTGAGTATAGTGCTGTTGATAAAGAAAGAAATATTCAAAAATATGCTGTAATTGCTGACATCTTAGGCAACAAATAAATGTGTGTTTACGCTTTATTATAATAGTATAGATTGAAGACACTTATATCAGTGTTGTATATGTGTTATGGTTATGGTGATTCAAGATTAAGTTATAAACTTTAACCACTAAGTTGGTAGACAGCTCTTACCAATTGTTAAGTACGTAATATCCAATTAGGTTGGTTATGATTTACGAACTTGACTGGTAAAGAGCTAAGATTAATGTCTTTCACGGGGTTGTAAAATCTTCAAGATTAGATTTCGCATTTGGTGTGAAAGATACATTTTTGTATTCAATACAAGAACTCCCTAAACACCAATGTTCCTGTTAACGTAATTTCAGGGATTATTCCCAACCGTCACCCCGCACTGTCTCCACATGGACAAATGAGAGTAAAAAGTACCCATCCTACCCTTTTGCGACGAAGGGACGGTTGGAATTATTTTAGTTTATAACAGTTCCATCTGTCACCTTATTGGTGATATTGAGACTAAAAGATGGGACGGATGAAACTTTTTATTCTCACGTGGGGATAGAGCGGGGTGACGGTGATAATCCAATTTTAGTATGAAGCTTATGTAAATTAGGGACTGTTCGTTTTTAGAAAATAATAGGAGTATTCAAGCCAAAAGACGAAGAGCCATACGGTAGACTGAACCCTAAATGGACGAAATGGATGCACAAGCTGTGCTGCCCGTGCTGCTTCGGCCGCTCATGTCTCATCCCCAACCAGGGATACCTGTCTGAAGCGGGGGCCAGTCTGGTCGACTCCAAGATAGGACTCAAAGTTGTGCCTAAGACTAGGGTGAGTATAAGCTGAACGTAATAATCAACATTTTATACGGGACCTAAAATATACAAGCTGTTTCCGGCTTCATCTGCATGAAATTATAAAAAAAAATGTAAAGGCTTTCGACTAACATCAGGTAATATTGGGTGATTTATGATATTTTCTTGTAGGCGTGGTACTCAGGTATTTCAATAACTCTTAATAGTTGATGTTCTTGTAATCTTCAATATCACGATTCGTATTTCCACTAAATAATTATAGATCGTAACAATATGTTTCGATATTGAATTTACGTCCACATTGAATTGGCGTCCACCGGGCACAAGGTCGCGAGCGCACTCCATCGCGACTCAAATCGAACTATTTGACGCTTCACGCAAAATGGCCGCCCTACCAGTGCCAGATGTTCGCCATGGGCATAGAGTAGCCTACAAATATATTGTTTTGTTTACATTTGTAAAACTTTTAATTGTAAATGTTAATATTCAAATGCATAAATGAATATGATCTTTGACATTAGATAACGATTACCGTTACCATGACAACCTTGTTTTTTTAATGTCACCTTGTAGTTTTTCCCTTTCCTACATGACGGTGTTTTCCAAATTATTTACTCCCTAAGTTTAATAGCGTGAATATACAGCCTGAAGTGTGTCGAAAAATAAATTAATTCAAAAATATACTGTAATTTATAACATCTTAAGCAACAAAGAAGTGTGTGTTTACGGTTTATTATAATAGTACAGATATATGTTATTGTTGTTACAGGTAGTGAAACTTGTATCAGAGACGTTTAACTACCTGCGGATAGACCGCGAGCGGTCGCGGCTGAAGCGCGCCATCACTGAACAGTTCCCCAACCTGCGCTTCAACAGGATGGGACTGCCGCCGAAGGTAATGCAACAGCAAGTCAGTAGACCATCTCAAGATGCCTCTAGAGGTGGTCTATTGACAGGTCTTTTCTGCGGTCTACTTCAAGGGTAGTAGTGGAAAGGCCTAATAGCGGTCTTTTGGCGGCGTACCAACGGTCTACCCAGTGATCTTACAGTTCTCATCAGTCTAGATCTAGGTCTTTCCAGCTAAATACGTGTTGTGAGATCTTTTACAGTCCTTACCAATAATTTTCATACAAATACCACAATATGATTGTCATTATGTTACAGTTTAAAACATTTCTTGTCCATAAATGGTGAATCTTTATGAAAATGTGTGTGTAGATGGGGTCATTCCAGTTGTTCGTGGAAGGTTACAAGGACGCGGACTACTGGCTTCGTCGCTTCGAGCAAGAGCCGCCGCCCCCACACCTCATGAAGAAGTCAGTATTTACCCCATTCTATAGTAATTTAAATTATTTTTATGTTTACGTGTTTATGTAATTGCTTTACGGTATGATCTTGAATTAAAAAAAAAACCTATCAAGCTTTTTACTCTATTAGTATAGAACAGTGATTGTCAAAGTGTTCTAAGTAGACCTACAGGGGTCTTAGGACTCCACAGGGGTCACTATTATAAATTAACTTGAGGGTTCACAAGAAAAGTAACAAGGGTTCATAGAAAATCAATATAAATTTTGATAAAAAACCTTAAAAAATATGCACAGTATTGTACAAAATAAAAACATATATGAAAAATTGTAACAGAGGGAAAAAGGGGAGGATCAGCTTAATCAATACTAGTTGAGGTCCAGTGTCGAGCTGGTTATCAGCCTTTTCAGTTTTAAGGGTATGAGAAAAAAGGGAACTCTTAAAGTAGACTGGTGATACTAAAACCCCGACAAGGGTCCATAATCATTAGAATTAAAATTTGGAGTCCATAACTGTCTTAATTTCGAAAATATTAATAATTTTCATTGGTTTCAAGGTTTCAGGACGATAGAAAGTTTGAGAACCTCTCTATAGAAGTCTTTACAGTTTGTTTTTAATTTTTTAATATGTTTTTTTAGGTTTCAACTACAGTTCGAGCGTTTGGTGGTGTTGGACTATATAATCCGCAACACGGACCGCGGTAACGACAACTGGCTTATCAAATACGACGCCCCCAGCGCTAACGCGGACACCCTCAACATGACAGACCCCTCGGTCAGTATTACTGTGTTTTAAGCAATAACAATTATTATATTTTCTGTATATACTAGTCTATACTAATATTATAAACAGGATATATTTGTATTTTTGTATGTATTGAAAAAAACTCAAAAACTACGATTTAGACGACTAGACGATTTCAAAAACTCTTTCATTATGAAAAAGCTAGAGCAACAGTGAGTAACATAGGCTAAGTCTTTTATCAATTTTTAATTTCATTCGGACGAAATCTCGAGCAACAGCTAGTATTGTGTGTAAAAAATCTTTACTTCTATATTTATCTATTATATAATCTGTACTTCTATACTAATATAATAAAGCATAAACACTACTTGTGACGTAAGATGTCAGCAATCACAGGATATTTTTGAATAGTTCATGCTTTAATAAAAAGCCCTACACTTACGACACGCTTTAAGCTATATATTTTCACGCTTTTAAACTCGGGGTGTAAGAAAATTTGAAAAAACCTTCATGTGTGAAAGGGACTTTAAATTACAAGCTGATAACATTAAGGAAGCAAAATTACCAAGTCATTGCATCACAATCAATAAATATTTCTTAATAATTATTTTTAATATAAAGACAGTAGACCAGCTAGTATAATCGCAATAAAAACGTTACAGGAATGGTCCGGCAAGGTGGAGGTGCGTATCGCGGCCATCGACAACGGGCTGGCGTTCCCCTTCAAGCACCCCGACTCGTGGCGCGCCTACCCCTACCACTGGGCCTGGCTGCCGCACGCCAAGCGCCCCTTCAGCCAGGACACCAAGTACGTGCAGCCCCTTCCCGGGCCACCCCACACAATGGCCACCAGGGAACAGAGGGGTTTAGTGCGTGCCCCATTATGGGGAGTCCCACATAACTCTAGTGCCTACCCCGAAGCACGGAGTATGCGTAAAGCATTCCACTCTGGAAAAAAAGGACACTAAGTACGGCCAGTAAACCAGCTAACCTTCACTTTTGGCACTCTCTGCCGGAAATGTACTCTAGGCCTTGGTTTCCGACTAAATATAGCCGAAACTGTAGAGTTCGTGAATGTTCGTGTGTTTACGGGTCAATGTTAACCAAAAATCTAATATTTAAGGCCTGTCCCACAATTGTCAATTGTTAGATAACAATCTGACGTATAAAATTATCATCACCAACTTACTATATGTCCCCACTGAGGGGTTCGGAACCTACCCTAAGTTAGGGTGACTAGGCCATAGTCAACCACGCTGGCCCACTGCGGGTTGGTTGACTTCACACATATCTTTTGAATTTCTTCTCCGATATGTGCAGATATCACGATGTTTTCCTTTACCGTAAGAACGTCGGGTATATTATGTACAGAAAATTCAAAAATCGAAAATCACATTGGTACAGGATTCGAACCCAAGATCTGTAGATTACAAGTCAAGTGCTTAAACCACTGAGTCACTGGTGCTCATGTATAAAATATGTGATGGAGATATTGGATTGTGGTACTCTATCTGACGGTTACGTTATTTTAAGCTAGCAGAAACTATCAGCCAGTGGTGGGACAGGCCCTAAATCTAACAGATACCGTCGTTTGAATCTTACTAATATTATAAATCCGAAAGTTTAGATAGATAGATGGATGGACGGATGGATGGATGGATGGATGTTTGTTAGGTTTGTAGCCTAAACGGCTGAACGAAACTCCATGAAATTTGGCACAGGTTTAGAGCATAGTCTGGAAGAACACATAGGCTACTTTTTATCCCGGGAATAGTTACGGTTCCCGTGGGATTCATTAATTTAGTTTTTTAATGTTTACTCGATCATTCTGCAACGGTTCAACATATCTTAGTGAAATTTGGCACAGATATAAAACAAAGTCTGGAGTACACATGGGATATGCTTCATCCTCAAGAAATGTCCGGTTTCCGAAGGATACGTAGCTTTTTGTAATCTATATAGTTTGTATGTTTTCTAATACCACGCGAACGAAGTCGCGGGCAACAGCTCGTATTGTATATGTTAATTACAACCAATAGGAAAAAGCTTTTAAATATGTGTCAGAAAAAATGGACATAACTATTCTACCATATTACTAAATATCTTTTTCGATGCATTTGGTTTTATTATCCTAATCTTTTTTTAATTACAGAGAACTGGTACTTCCGCTGCTCTCCGATATGAATTTTGTACAAGAACTGTGCGATGAACTGCATTTGTTGTTCAAAGTAAGTGATGTTATACGAAACTATATATGGATGGATGTTACTATCTCCAAAACGTTCAACGGATCTTTCAACGTCACAGATGTGGAATATAGTCTGAAAGAACACATAGGATTTACTAAGCCACTTTTGATGTATTTTTAAGCTATTATTCTTGTACGAAAAAGAAAATTAACGAAGAGAGTATGTTTTTACATTGTCGTTGTTTAAAATGTAAAATATATCAAATAGTTGATTTAGTAAATAATAATCAATAAACAAACTACTAAAACTACCAACAATAGTAGAAAATAGACAAAATACAATTGTGTGTCGCCTGTGGCAACATCAAAGAAAAGCAAAAACTGCGGTCGGCCGTTAGCCGTTAAATACAAAGCGTCATAGTACGTATTTGTCCCCCTTCTACCAATTAATCCAAAGTTTGTCCAAAGTAACAATCAAAAACAGTTTCGTTTAACATTTTCCACGGAAAACCAACTTTTTTAGTTGTATTGCAATTTTGGTACATTGTTTTTTTAATTACATTAAAAGCTGTGTTATCACTGAGTGACATTGGCTATATTTTTACTATTTTTTTCTTTGACGCGAGCGAAGTCGCAAGCAATATTGAATAAAGTATGTTTGTATTTCAGCAAGACAAGGGTTTCGACAAGGGTCTGTTCGAGCGGCAGATGTCGGTGATGCGCGGCCAGGTGCTCAACCTCACGCAGGCGCTCAAGGACAACAAGAGCCCCGTGCAGCTCGTGCAGATGCCCGCCGTCATCGTGGAGAGGTACACCACTCTAACTTACAAATATCATTCATTCAACATTTCACTAACTCATGAGATAAATAACTTATGAACTCATAAACTCAATAACTTAACAACTCATAAACTCAATAACTTACCAACTCATAAACTCCACAACTCACAAATTAATTAAATAAATTACTTGCTAACTCATAAAAACCTTGACAAACTCATAATATAAACAACTGACCAAATCAAAAGATAAACATCTCGTAAACTCAACAACTCATAAAATAAAAAACACAAACTCAAATTCATTATTTCGCATTTCCCCACACAACTCATAAACTCAACAATTGTGTGTCATTTAACACTATTTGAATTGTTATAAATAATTGCAGGTCCAAAAGCGGGACGACGTCGTCTCGTTTCTTCGACTCGTTCCAGCAGCGCTTCCAGCACAAGTCGCCCTTTTTCTCCTGGTGGTGAGCTGCGAGGTTAGTGCGGGCTTACACTGATCTAACACCTATAATAATCTTATTACTATTATAAATGTGAAAGTATGTAAATTATAACAGTGGTAATGCCCGCTTTATACCTTAGCACTGCAAGGCACGCCCGGTGTACCACGACCACACAGAAGACAGGCGTCAAATGGAACCAATGCCGTGTTTCGTCTGATGAGTGTGGTGCCGGAGGCCTAATTTAAGTCCCTTTCCCTTTACCACCCTTTTCTTATGAGAGGATGGAAAGGGGAATTGGATTTGACGGAGGAGGAGATGCATAGGTAGGGGAAATATCATCTCTATGTGCGTCTCCTCCTCCGTCGTATAAGGGTAGACAACGCATCTGCAATTGCGGATGTCTATGGGCAGCGGTCGCTTCGCCATTTTGGCAGATTCAGGTGGCCGCTTGCTCGTTTGCCACCTTATGTTGTAAAAAAAAAAAAGTTTAGATGGATGGATGTATGTATGTTTGTCAGAGTTTGTAGCCTAAACTGCTGAACGAATCTGTATGAAATTTGGCATAGACGTAGAGAATAGTCTGGAAAAACACATAGGATTTCCACTTTTTTTATTTTTTATTCCACGTGGACGAAGTCGCGGGCGAAATCTAGTGTTATAAAATTTAAACACGCATTTCCTTATGTAGGATGTCAACCATTTTTTCACTTTTTATTTTTTATACGCTATTCTTAACCTATTTAGGGGTTGCATAAATTGGGTCGCGGAAGATTGCGCAAGCGTTCTCGTGACCCAACCACTGGCGGATAGAAGGAACACCGCTGGGGTTTTAGTGGGTATTCCGAACATTTTCCATCTTCTCGGCCGGCGAGTCCCACATACCCCCCCCCATTGGCCTGTATTGTATTTTGAGCATTAGAATTTTGGCATTTGCAAAAGAAACTTTAACTAAATACAATAAAATAAAAAAATATATAATTTTATGCAGATGAAACTGCACAGGAATAGACAGTTAATAATTAATTACGTAATATTTCAACTTATTTAACATAATTCCTACTACAGTTTGTAATGTTTACGGTGGAGTATTTTAGTCTCGTTTCTCTAATATTTAAGTTTTAAGAGTTAAAAAATAATTTTCCTTTCAGGTAAAGATGGATGCGCGCTGACGCTGTTATACATAGTAAAATAATTGTATGTATGTATGTAACTAGATTTAGCACGTTTTCAAATTATATGTATCTTGCGGTAGTGTATTGTGTCCGCAGAGATATCGGAAGCAACTAATATAAAAAATGTAATTTACTTTATTAGTGACGATAAAATGACATTTATGAAGAAAACATTTATTCAAATAGTATTTAGAAAAAATATTTGAATTGTAATAATTGACTAATTTATCCTTCACAAAAAACTGTAGGTTTTTAATTTCAAGTTTCCTAACATTTTATTTAATACCTGATTTACTTAATAGGGAATATGCATATTTTTTTCTATTTTTTAAACGATTCTACTTGTTTATTAACTAGAAAAAAAATTAACGCGAAAATATTCAACCATTGAGCTAAAAATAATAAAATAAACTTAGCAAGTGAATTTGAAAAAAGACACTTTTTAATGATTAAATTTTGCCATTATATTATATTAAAAAAATCTTTGCAAGAATGTTTTTATAGTAATAAAGTACACTTAAAAAAAGTTTATTGCAATTTGGCGTCATATGCATATTGCCTATTATTAAAAAAAACTTACAATTTAACTATTTTACATCTATTCTTGACAATATTTCTATGCTTCATTCAATAGATAATACTCAAAATAAACTCAAACAAGACAAACCAAAATTATTTCGTAAATGCGTCATATAAAGGGTTATTAAAATATAAAAAAAATTAATTGCACCGATGTCTCTGTTGGTGCAATACACTGTGACACGACTAATCTAGTCGTGTGCTAAATATCTTTGAATTTTTTATTTATTAAGCTGTTTTATAATCAAATAAAACATAACTATCGGAACTGTTTTCTGCAATTCCTTAAAAATGTAATTTTCTATTTTTTAACTAAATACTATGTTATGAAAAAACTGTTTAAATTTTCTGTCTCGAAAAACTTAACTAACAATAAATTAAATCAATTATATAGAGAGTTAAATGTTTGTTAGTTTTTAAACTTTTATATTTATATGAAAATACTTATAATAAAACCCGTAAACGAAAATAATGGCATTGACATTGATAAAAACTTAAGAATTGTAATCATTTTTGTTATATTATTAAATAATAATGCCTATCCCACAACTGGCTGATAGAGTCTCAGATAGCTTAAAAATGACGTCACTGTCAGATAGAAAAAATCCATCACATATCTTGGATTGTAAGACAATTTACAATTTAGTGAGACAGGTTCTTTATGTTTATATATTTATTAGAAAGCTTGGCTCTAATTGGCTAATGCTTCGATAATGCTATATAAAGTCTATATGAAATATAACAGTACTTTGTGCGGTATTTATGTCTCTTTTTTACAATAGGAGTGAAAGAGATGACAATACAATTATTGGTCAAAGCCAATTCGAACAAAACATAAATGAAATTATTAGTTACATTAAAAAAATTGAGAAATGTTTCAAGTTTTATTTGAAATTTATAAATATCGGTCTTAAAAGCGGACATATTTTGACTAAACTATCGCACAACTGTAGTGCGATTGTCGATTGTCACAGCCCTTTCAACTGTTTAGTTGCACGAGTGTACCTATATAAGCTAGGAATCAAAGCAAGACTAAACAGTTCTGCGATAATTTAGTTAAAGTGTGCGCTCTAAATAGTGATTTTCATATTTTACAATAGGGGTTATGTTTAAATTGTTAGCGATTAGCAGCTTTTATTGTGATATTTGATTTTTTTTTATAATTTTCTTGTTGAAAATGAATTTTGTTCGATATTTTCAGATATGTTAAAATATATCAGAATAGCATAACATTTGTAAAAGCAGTAATATAATATATTTTGCTTGATTTTTAAATTCAAACAAAACGCTCTTTGTATGTCTACGTTAGCCCTGAAATTAACTGTTACTGTTCTTTTTTTTTTTTATTTTGCAAAGTATGAAAAATCATGGAAAAATCACTTATTTCCTGGATTTAATAGATTGTTAATAGAATAATACTGAAATATTATCAAACGGTCCTATATTTTTGTATTTATAGACGGATTTTTTTTTATATTTTTTTAAACAGCATTATTTTGAAAATATCAAAGTACAAAATTTTAATCTCTTAAATAATTGAAAATAGTATAGAATCTTACATTTAATGTTCCCATTCTTAATTTTTATTAAAGGATTTTCCACTAATATAGCTAAATCAAAAATATTATATTTCAAGTAAAATTTAAGTAATCACATTTCAAGTTAGAGCTAAAATTTAATTAGTAAAAAAAAAAACTTAGTTCCTCTCATTTAGTCAATGTTAAAACTTCATACATTATCCATTTAGATACCTCTATTATACTAAATAAATATTACAAAATAATCAAAACCAACTTTAAAGAAATCGATGTAAAGACAATTGCAGACGAGGTCTTTGCTTTTATACATAAAGCTGGCTACAGACGTAATTTAAACTGAACAGTTCGGAAACCGCGTCTCCATAATAATATCAATTGAATTGTTACAGCAAATAAACGCGGTACAAATTTAAACTTAGAAATAAACTGAGTATAAGCAAAATTTGTACTAAAGTTTAAATTTATACCGCGTTTAAAAGGCTGGTAAAGTCTTGTCTACGTTTTAATTTGACAGAATGTTTTAAATAGTCTGTAGGAGGCTTTAAGTTTCTTTATAAAAATAATGGCAAATTTTTGACTGGTTACTTTTAGAGTAACGTATAAAATTGAAGTGCCTAATGTTTTTCTATAGAACATTTTTTGTATAGCCTGAGAATATAAAAACCTGTCAGCACTTTGATCGGCAAAGAAATATTTTTTTCTCCAATACGACGAGGTTTTTTTATATTTCCTTCTATATTTATTTAAATCTGGTAAATAGTACAATCATTGTATTCTTTGATATGTCGATAAGTTAATGAGATACAGAAGTTATTTAAAACTGTTTGTTTTAAATAATTTTAAGTATAGATATGTTATATATGTGTAGGTGTGTTCTGTGATCTGAGTGCAGAGGCTGGGGATAATTCAAATTATATAAACGCCATATAAAGACATTTTTAACACTTTGATCGCCGATTATTTAGTATTGTGTTAAGTGGTTATAATTTAATTGGTCCGTTTTAAAAATTTGAATTAGACTACTCGAGATAATCGATACTAAATTATTGACGAAATCGATAAGGTTTTTTTGGCATTTTTGCTTTTAAAATGGGCCCATTTTATTATAATCTATGTATGGCGTGATATATAATTTTGTTCCCGTAGTTACTCGTAAAGAATTCCATGTTTGTAAATAGTTTTAACAGTTTTTTTTGTTTGTTTAAAGGTTAATTCGTGTTAATGCATTATTTAATTTTTGAGAAAATATAATCATCATTGCATTTCAATGTTTTATTATTTCATTATCCTATAAAATAAGTTTTAACACAAAAGTGTTTTCATAAAAATGAACATCTAAAAATTTACAAAATCACCACCAAAAAAAAGTTTTTTCAAATGGATCTGTGACCAGATTTTTTAAATTGGGTATTTCAGTTTTTTTTTTTAATGAAACACTTTATTATTTCATATATTTGTATTCAACAAATAAAACATAGACAATTTTTAAACAAACTGTGAACAATAAACATTTTTGTGCAAAATAGCAGTTCTACTACTTATGATAATTTTTTAATTTATATTTTAAATGCATTTTTGTTAATATATAAAATAACAGTGGAATTGATAAGAATCTGTTTTGTAGAAAACAGGCTAAAGTCAATAAAAAAAAACTTACTGATTTTTTTTTTAATGTAGAAAGCACAGATAATATTTTTTGCCATATTTATCTAGTTTTATCTAATCTATGTACATTAAATATAGACATAATTGAAATATTTCATTTTAAACAAAATATAAAATATGCAGGATAAAATAAAATTTATTTAGACTAGGAAATTACTACAAAAGTGTTTTATTTAAAGGTAACTATACACAGCCAATTGTAGTGATTTCTTCAAAAAAACGATATATTTCAAATTTTACTGTAGTTACCAATAAGACAAAATCCGTTACATTTTAAATACTATTCATAGAGAAATATTTACATGAATTTACAATATTTAATTATAAAAACTGAAATAAATTAAAACAATAACAAACAGTTTTTTCAAAATAACAAAAAAACAGTGACTAAGAAATAAAGCAGTTATTTTAGTTTTTTTGTCTTCAAGGCATTATTATAATAAATTTTACAATTTGTATTACAATTTTATCACTTCGCTATACAATCGAATTTTTTTCTTTCTTTTTTCAATATTTAATATCAATTTTGTTACAACATATTATTGCCAATATTTTTAATCTTGATTTTTTTTTCATAATTTATTTTTCAATCTCTGCAATTACAAAAATACAAAAAGCTCTAACGATAATACTTTGACAGGCAAAAAAATTGATTTGCAAAAAAAATAATGTACTTTTTTATGCATTTTTCAAATATTCGATTACTTTTTACACTTTCATCTGTGCATCTGCACGCTGTGCTGGTATTTGACGAAAGCGATGGCGGCCAGCTCTTTGCAGAACTCTTCTAGAACGATTAAACTTTCGACCAATTGGTTGTGGTCATCACTAGAAAAAACATTAAACGTTTCTACATTATCTTTACTACATATTTATTGAAAAAAAAATGAGCAATATATCTATCTGCTTTGTAGTAACTAGGGAAAGTAATTAAAAGTTGAATTATAAAAAAAATACAAAAAAAAAAGTTTTTTGATCTATTTTTTTTACAGAAAATGAGTAAAAATCATACTAATATTATAAATGCGAAAGTTTGTATGGATGTTTGTAGTCTAAACGGCTGAACACATTTTGTTGAAATTTGGCTTAGACGTAAAGAGTATTCTGGAACACATACTCACTTTTGTTTTTTTAATTACACGCGAACGGAGTCGCTGGCGAAAGTGAGTGTCTAATAAAAGTTCTAAAATAAAGAAATATAATTCTTAAGCTAGAAAAAACTTTGTTTTGAAAATATTGGTGTCCAAAACAATTTTATGTTTAGTATAGTAAAAACGTAAGTTAAGAAATCAGTATAAAAAAATACAAACCACTCATCATAACTGGGATCTTCACTCATCAGCTGCATTCTAGTATTTTCTATCACCTTCTTATAATTCTTTATCCTCGGTATCTCCATAGTCAACTTCCTCGCCAGCTCTTGCAACGTTTTGAATAAAGTCTGTGTCTTCTTAGCGGTTGGCAACATTGGATTCAATAAATATTCATGTAAATAAGGATGCGGCATCAAAGCCAACTTTGATATTATAGAGGTAAGGTGCAAATTCACTTGATAAGGTCGGAGATGCATTTCCGAGAGAAGTTTGAAAAGCATTCTGAAGAAGGGACCTTCATCGAAATCTTCGTTTGATGAGAATGAAGGTAGATCTCGAGAACGAATGACTAATTTTTGGGAGAAACATTCAGTTTTGTCTCTGGTATTACTATTGTCTATAGTATGGACATTATCTCTGGTATTACTGTCTTTGGAATGGCCATCATTTCTAGTATTACTGTCTTTACCATGGTCATTGTCTCTGGTATTACTATTGTCTATAGCATGGCTATTAACCGTGGTATTACTTTCTTTGCTATGGCCATTATCTCTGATATTACGGTCTTTGCTATGGCCATTATCTCTGGCATCACTGTCATTAACATGGCCATTGTCTCTGGTATCTGCGTTGTTTATGCTCCACTCCCTATCTATGGCGTGTAACGGCTGGAATACATCCAGGTGTATATCCGCTTCGGGCCTACTATCGTAGCTATGAGTGGAGCTCGCAGTATTATCTCCTTGTTCCGTCGGCCAACTAAACGTCGACGTGATATCCAACCAGAGCTATAAATAAATTGTTTTAAGATATAAGGATGTTTTAGCAATATATTTTTTTTGTGGAATTATTTTTGTAAATGTTGAAATGTTCGGTCTCAGAATTTTAAACGTTTAGAGAACTAAAAATCAACCAATTTCACTTATTAAAACCTCTATAAAAGATATTATCACTTGGCATGCACCGTTTAAAACCAATTTTAAAAATTCTATCACATATAAAAATTCCATCTATAAAAGAGTGATATCTTAGTAATATTATAAATACGAAAGTTTAGATGGATGGATAGATATCAGAGTTTGTAGTCAAAACGGCTGAACGGATCTCAATGAAATTTGGCATTGATGTAGAGGATAGTCTGGAAGAACACATAGTCCACTCATTTGTTTTTTTTAATCCACGCAGACAGAGACGCGTGCGAAAGCTAGTAGTAATATATCTTTAAAGAACTTAAAAACTACCACTTTCTTATGGTTTCTTAGTAGAATCTTTATAAGAAAACTATTATTCGACATCAGTAGCAGCTTTCGGCCGAATACTGAAACGACATTTAACTTGTAACATCGTCTTAAAAGGCCACATTTAAACTCCTAATTCCATTAAAAATTTGAAGTGTCAGATTATAAGCGCTGCTTATAAAGCGAGATATCTATCGTTAATTTCAATATTCAGTCACAAGTTTCTCAATACTAATATTACAAAGAAAATGTCCGATAGTTTGTTACCTAATAACTCAAAAACTACTGAATCGATTTTAAAAATTCTTTCACATATAAAAAGTCCATCTATAGAAGAGTGATATAGAATATTATGTAAATACATAAGCAAAGCCTTGTACATAATATACCTGATAGTGTCTCTGCGCGTCGTGTATGTAATGCTCGTAGTCCGCGCCCACGGGGTCCGACAGCACGGCGCGCGGCAACAGCAACAGGAAACTGCAAATGTACGGGACAATCAAACTACAACATTCCATACAATATGTTTAATATCATATAAATATACTTAACACTAGTTGGAAAATATCAAAAAAGATTGTATAATATAATATCGCAAACATTTGTGGATTTAATTTTACAGTGAGCTTTGATAACTATGGAACATAGTTGAAAATTAATTTCACTAGTAAATATATCTCAAGTTCTTTTACAATCCGTCTCAAGTGTGTTTACAATCTATCTCATGTACTTTTTCAATCTAATCCATCTTAAGTTTATTTTATAAACCATCTTAAGTTCATTTGCAATCTGTCTCGAGTAATCTACAACCCGTCATAAGTCAATCTACAATCCATCTCAGGTTCATTTGCAATCCAACACAAGTTTATTTGCAATCTGTCTCAAGTATATTTGCAATCCATCTCAAGTACGTTTGCAGTTCATATTAAGATAATTTGTAATCCATCTCAAGTTAATCTACAATCTATCTCAAGTATGTTTACAATCCATCTCATGTACTTTTCAATCCAATCCATCTTAAGTTTATTTTAAAAACCATCTCAAGTTAATTTGCAATCCGTCTCCCGTACCTTAGTAATATACCTTAAGTTTATTTGTAATCCGTCTAGACTTAATAAACAGTCTGTAGTAATCTACAATCCGTCTCAGGTTCATTTGCAATCCAACTTAAGTTTATTTGCAATCCAGCTCAAGGTTATTTCTAATCCACCTCAAGTTATTCTACAATCCGTCTCAAATACATTTACTTTAAAAACAGTAATTATTTTTATGTAAAAATGCTACATAGTTTAGCTATCAGAGCTCATCATAAAATGTGTATTTATAATTTAAAATAATAAATAATCGAAAGTAAATAACAAGGAATTGTTGTTATGTGTTTAATAATATTATTATTAATCTATGATATGTTAACTTCTAATTAGTATATGTTTAAATAATTATTAACTATTATGACACTTTTCTATCATGTTCCTGTTTCCTGCGATAATTTGAGACATATATTTAAAAATAAATACAATTACAATGAAAGAACATTATAAATGTTTTTAAGTGTTTAAAAAAAGAAACATCAAAAAACCTTATTGATTTTTCATAAGGATATACAAATTAATAAAAAAAATCTGTAAAATAGTATTTTGTAGAAAAATAATTAAAAAAGACCTCAAAAATCTATGACTCAACCAGTTTTGTATTTATAATGAGATTTTTATTAGGCCCAAAAGCACAAATTAAAATATAGGAACTTTATTAAATACTATAAAATTTGTACTGAAAATCCAAATTTTAAACTGGCCAATCGGTTTTCTAAATATAAAAAAATAAATACTTATTTATCACAAAAAAACATTTAAATAAAATGCTTTAGATATAATAAACCATTAATTATAAATATTCTTACCTAATACAAAACCTTTTTATTTTAATTTTTAATACAAAAACATGAGCAAAAATATTATAACCTGTAAAATTTTACAAACATTTACAAACTTTTTAACCCTAGATAATTATTTTTTATACCTAAACCATAAAAGTAGATAAAAAAAGTATTTTATAAACATCATATAAATAACTGGTCGGAATTTAAATAGCGTCACTTTAAAAAAAATATTCTAGAACATTTATTCTATATTATCTGTGGTGTTTTGTTTATTTTCCTCCGCCATTATTTCTTCTATTCGTAGTTTTAGTAGTTCAAGTCGCCTAGAAGTTGTAAATTAAGCAATTAATTGCTAATTATTGTCATATCAGTGTTAGTATTTAGTTAGTTATTAATTAAATGTCATAATTAAATATATTCTTGTGTAAAATGAATTGTTTTTTTAAGCAAAAGTTGGCAAAGAGTAAACGGCCACTTGAATTCGTCAATAGGAAAGTTATCGCTGATCATAGATGTTACTAGAACGTTGTCTACTCTTACTCCATAGAGAAGCACAGAAAGAGTATATTTTCCTTTCTATGCGTCTCCTCTGTTAATTCCACTTTTCCTTATAAGAAATGTGTGGGAAGCGTAGAGGACTGTAACTAAAGTAAGCCCTGCATACTTATAAGAGTATGCGGAATTGCTTACACTTGGCGCGTTTATTTTTTTTTTTGTTTTGTACAATTTTTCTTTAGGATACTGAGAATATCTATATGTCTCTCTTTCGATTTCTTTGCAACATCTGTAGTGGTAAAAAAAAAACTTTTCGTACAGACACATTTATAAGCGTTGTATTGATTTTTGTACTGCGACATTTTTTTTTTAAATATAAGGTGGCAAACGAGCAAGCGGCCTAAATCCACCGAAATGGAAAGCGACCGCTGCTCATAAACATCCGCAATTGCAGCGTTGCTTACCCTTCATTGACGGAGGAGACGCACATAAAGAGGACATTTTCCCTTCCTATGCGTCTCCACCGTCAAATCCACTTTTCCTTCCCATCCTTTCCTCTTAAAAAAGGGTGGAAAGTGAAAGGGACTAATATTAGGCCTTCAGCACCACACTCATCAGACTGTACGCGGAATTGCTTCCACTTCACGCCTGTTTTCTATGGTCGTGGTATCACTGGGGACGAGCCCTGCAGTGCAGTGTTAAAGCGGGCTCTACCACTGTTAAAATTGTTCAAACTATATATAATAACACCGCAGATTTCCCTGATTGTACATATGACATACCTGTTAATAACTCTATGTATGTTGTCGATATCCGGTTCCTTGGTGGTGACGCCCTCCTGCTGCAGGATGTCGCTGATCTGCTCCGACACCTGCTCCTCGTGCTGCAGCTGCTTCATAGCTTCCCTGGAACACGGAATGAAACATATATACAAGCTATCCCTGTGACTGTCCGCGTGAAATTTATAAAAAAAGACCTATGTTTCCAGACTATGTGACAAAGAGAATCGAGATGTACTGGACATCATATGTTTGAATATCCATCCATCCAAACTTTCACATTTATAATACTAGCTATCACCCGCGATTCCGTCCACGAGGAACTTAGGAGAATTTAGCAGACTGACAAAAACTATGCTGGATATACGTAACAACATCCATCCAAACTTTCGCATTTATAATATTACTAGCTGTATCCCGCGACACCGTCCGGGAGAGATTAAAAAAACAACTAAATCAGTACTGAAATTCTTACCTATTCCTCTCTCGTTCTCTCGACAGCGATAGATCGTTCAGTCTATCCCTCTCGTCATCTTCTAGAAGAGGCTGCGGTGAAAAGTATCCTCTAGAACACACGCGGGAGAGGACCAGCCTGTTGATACTGTGTTCTGTTCCTTTCTCTATTATTGTCTGGAAAAGAATAACTTCACATATACATAAAAAAATACAAGTTCCTTTTTAAGAGTCTTCAAGTGGAAGTTCAGATATCGATTATTTATTCTATGATCTACTTTTTTTTGATGCAGAATAGCTGCCATTTGGTGCCAATTTTTCTATTAAAAACTATCCAGTAGTTTTTGAGTTTATCTTAAAAAGCGTACTAAAGTCGGTAACGTTTTCTCTTGAAACATTTAGCCTTAATAAAACATTAACTCGTATTTTCATTTTGATGTTTCGTTCTTTTTTTTAACCCAAAGCTACTTATTTTTAGACATTAAAACACTCAGGCCATTGTCTCCCACCAGAATGCTATGTGCGCTATTTTAATACGTCAGAATGACATTGACAGCTGTCATAGTGACGGGAAGTGTATGCCAATGAACTAGTGTTGCGCCAATCTTACAGCGTAGCACTGAATTCCTTACTTTTCGCTTTTTTTTTTTCAAAAAAAAATTGATACATTAAAGGTTAGTATAAAATCGCTGTAAGACCTCAAAAAACCTCAACATTTCCAGCGTGAGGTCGTGGTCGTCGCTGAGGCAACTGTCGATGAGCGCCAACAGCAGCGGCCACTCGCACATCTCGCCCTCGCCCACCAGCCAGTTGGAGAACTCTATAACACGCTTTAAATAAATACCTATACGGAATATACCATCTATAGAATAGTTCAGTGGTAGAGCCCGCTTTAACATCATCGACCACACAGAAAACTGGTGTGAAGTGGAAGCAATTCCGCGTGCAGTCTGATGAATTTGGTGCCGGAGGCCTAATATTAGTCCCTTTCTCTTTCCACTCTTTTCTTGAGGAAAGGATAGTAAAGGAGACGACTAGAAAGGGGAAATGTCCTCTCTAATTGCGTCTCCTCCGTCAATTAAGGGTAGGCAACGCATCTGCAAAGATGTTTATGGGCAGCGCTTTCCATTTCGGTGGATTCAGGTGGTTTGGTCGTTTGCCACCTTTTATTATAAAAAAAATCGTAGCTTTTATGACCACCGCTAAATCCCCCGACAGTACTCACCATTGATCAATTCCTGTGAGTCTACAACACGCAGACACTTGGCGAGGAGGGCGGCGGCGAGCGCGGCCCCGCGCGCCCCGCGCAGCGCGCGCTCGCCCGCCGCCTCCAGGAACTGCGCGCGGAACGTTCGCGAAAGGTGCGCCGCGATCGCGGGGTGGCACTCCTAACATTAATCATGAAATGCAAATATTTTATTTGTCATATTTATTGACTCCTTTAATAAAGAGAAACATACCTAGTAAGGGAGCAAAAAATATATAATCAAACAAAATACAGAAATATCATAAGATTTGTAAAATTATATGTGACGAGCTGTTGCCCGCGACTTCGTCCGCGTGGTATTAGAAAACATGCAAACTATATAAATTACAAAAAGTTACGTATCCCTCGGGAACCGGACATATCTTGGAGATGAAGCTTATCCCATGTGTACTCCAGACTTTGTTTTATATCTGTGCCAAATTTCAATAAGAAATGTTGAACCGTTGCAGAATGATCGAGTAAACATTAAAAAACTAAATTAATGAATCCCACGGGAACCGTAACTATTCCCGGGATAAAAAGTAGCCTATATGTTCTTCCGGATTATGCTCTAAACCTGTGCGAAATTTCATAGAGATCCGTTCAGCCGTTTAGGCTACATACGCTAACAAACATCCATCCATCCATCTAAACTTTCGCATTTATAACATTAGTAAGATTTATATTGTGTTTTTGTCTAAAAAATAGTAAATAGCAGTGAAAATTATACAGACATTCTGAACGAAATTAATGTATCACGCAAAATATTTTCGCAGAAAGAATCCTCGACGCTACAGAGAGCTTTCTCTATATACCTATACTAATATAATAAATTATGTAGAATTTCAATCACAGTATATTTTTGAATCATGTTTTTAATAGAAAGCCCTGCACTTAAGACACTGTCGGATATGTATTTTTACGATATACTTTTAAGGGGTGAATATATTAGAAAAATCGTCAAACGAGAAAGGGACAAAAAATAAAAGCCATTAGCAACAAAGAAGCTAGATCACCAAGGTAACGGTAATTGCTAGCTAATGGAAAAAATGTATAAAAGACAACAAGGGCCTCGTTAAACATGGGCCTTTTTAAATATAAAATCACGCAGAGGAAGCCGCACGGAAACAGTTGGTTATACATAAAATATTAAGCTGTTTACATCACCCCCAAAAATATACGCTGCGGTTAAAAAAATACAATCAAAATCTACATTACCTTCATCAAGGTATCACAATAATCCAGCCATGAGAAGAAACTTGTCAGCTCTCGGTAACCATTGAATTTATTATAGCCCTTGTCACCAAAATCCTGTGCCACATATCTAAAAAGAGATAAAACATAATATCTAAATATAGTACTAAATATAAAAATATTAATATATTAAAACTTAAAAATAAACAACAATCTGGCTCGAAGGACCATTAACATTATCATTTTAAAATTCAAAATCTTACTATTTTAAATGCCAAAGTTTATATGGATGTTTGTTAAAGTTTGCCTAAATGGCTAAACGGTCGCGGTCAGAGTCGCGGGCGAAAGCTACTATCAGAAACAATCTAACAAATTCTGTGCCATCCTCTCATGTGACTAGTTCCATTCAAACAAGTTTTAATAAAAAACAGTAAAAAAAACTCACGCCCAAGTTATATTCAAATGGTCTACATCATTAGGATCCACGTGAGGCGGTATACTCTTGTATTTCTCCGCCAGTTTGTCTATAATAGTCTCACAGACAGGACTGCAGCTGGTCACCAAGTTAGCGATATCATCTTCTGGTAATGATGATACTATCATTATACCTTCACATGCTCGCAGGACAACCTGGTTGTCCTAAAACAGGCCAGTATTTAGCAAGCGGTCCTGGGATATAAATCTATGAAATACCATGAAGAAAAAAAGTTATAATGGTTTTCAAGTTAGCAATGTTCCCGGAATTAGTAAATTTTTCACAGGGTATATGAGAAAAAGTTAAAAATCTATCTATTAGGATTATAATAAGGGGAGGGGGAACCTTTGTCTAAAACTTATCGCATAAATGTGGTGCGATTGTCGATTGTTTCAAGCCAATTCAACTGTTTAGTTGCACAACTAGAAATCGTAGTGTGCCTCTATATAAGCTCATAGGAATCAAAGCGAGACTAAAGAGTTGTGCGATAGTTTTGTCAAAGGTGTGCCGGATGTAAAAGGATAATAGATACCAAATGAAAGGAAAAATATATAAGTAAACCCATATTATGTAGTTATTTGTAAGAAATCACGATATTTTTTTCATATTACTGAAATACTAACTATTTGCAATATGATAAGTTGCAGAACTCGTAAATTTAACGACAAAAGATAAGATAATACACAACAATATCATGTAACTGTGATATGATTCAAATGGAAATTATAACTATTAGTAAAAAAATTAAATCCATATATTATGAAGAATTTAAAACATTAATTCATATTTTCAGAGTAGTCTCGGCATGGAACAGGCTTCCGGATACAACCGAGCTATACAACACACACGCATCAGCTAACTAGCTGCTAATGTGTCACCCAAAATAATAATAATAATAATAATATTTAGATGGCGGAGAAATGAATGGTAAAGTTTGGAGTAGGAATTGATAATTGGCATTTTTTTTTCTTATTAAATAAATAATCTCTACTAAAATTTAGTAAAGGAACGATTTGTATTTTTGTATGTATTGAAATAACTCAAAAACTGCTGGACCCATTTAAACAAAATCTTTCACCATTAGTTTAACTGTGAACTGTTGTTCTTTTGGCTGTGTTTAGCCTACGTTTTTTATTTTCACGCGTAAAAAAGTAAAGTAAAAACAGAAGAAGCGAGAAGAAAAGTAAACAGTATGTGTTTGTATATTTGCAAAATAATTATGTAGATCTGTATATAAGTGAAATAAAGATGTTTTGTTTAGTATTTAATGTGTATTTATGGCTGCCTATTAGTAACAAGTAAAACAATACTTACAGCGCTATTCAAATAAGACAGCAACAAATCAATCAATAGAAACTTATCATTGTCCTCGTAGACTGTTTTCTGACTTTTACAAGAAGCATTATCTTCTGCAACTGAACTATTAGATTTTGTAACACTATCTTCTTTAGAATTAGTTCTGACTATAGATATATTCTTCATTGGATTTGGCATCATTTCAACTTCGAACAACGGATTCTTTTTTGGCATTTGCACTTTACTTTTCAACGGTATAAGCTTTTGTATATCTTCTGGTATGCTTAGCAAGCTTGATTTATCTTCTACGTAAGGTGTTGTGAATATATTGGCAAGACCCGGCTCTTTCCTCACAAGTCCACATAGAGTCAGTAATAGTTCCACTTCTTCTCTTTCAGTCGGTGAAGCTGGATTTTCATTGCATTGTATTAACATCCTCTGGAAATAAGATAATTGTTATAGTTGTGTCTAAATGAGAAACTAAAACATATCTATAAGCAAACTTAACTATTTTACATTTTTTAGACTTTAATCACAGATTTTTTAAAAACAGATATGTTTGTATAATTCATTTAAATTTTCATAATAAATTCATAGACAATAAATGTCATTGCTAGTCAGTAAAATATGTACATAAAATTTCTCGCGTATCAAGATTATTGATGTAGACATTTATTACAATAAGTTAGGCTCCTATATAACAGTAATAAGTTGAAATGTATTTTAATGATTTTATGACATTTGAAATAATAAATAAAGAACAACTTAAGATAACCAAATGTCTTCATTATAAAACAAAACAAAAACCAGATTATTAAAAACTACATTACAAATATTTCAATATGACTCACCTGTAAGGGCCTAAACACATGTGCACTGTTAACACAAGGTTGTCTTGTCCGACGTAACAACGCAGTTCCTGTGGTTAAGGCTAGTGACCTCGCACCTGGCGGTCTGTCGGCTGCCGCGAGTGCTGTAAGTGCATCTAACCAGCATATTGACCGCTGAACTACAGCTTCTAAGCAAGGACCTACAGTACCACCTTGTTGTTCCTTCTCTTCATCTACTATGAGCTGGAATGAAATAGTTTGTTATAACTTTTTTCAAATATTTTAGCAGCTAATGTTCTAACACTATATAATTAGAGTAATGGCCACCGAAGGGGCTCTAGTGGGTCAAATTCTACATAACCATGCCCCCCTAGCAGGCAAGGTATCTTTGAAGACTTCCACAAAGACACCAAAGAAAGAAAAACCCAACATTCTTAAATATTGCAAAGGCTTTCCATGAATCCTTTTATGTATTGCCTAACAACTTCTGCAATATTTAGACCTGACAAGATATTTGACTTCTACTTTACAACACAAATCTCATGCCTAATCCATACCTTATCAGATAAGTAGGTATAATATGTCAAATACCACTGATTGAACAAATAAGTACCGATCACTTGGAAATAGTAGTAGAATGAAAATGGTGATGTGATTTAATTGTGATTATTGTACTTTTCTAAGATAGTACACAGTAACTTGTACAGTAAGTTGAGTTTATACATGCTTATTTAAAAAAATATTTATGTTAAATTGTTATTCTAGCCTTATTTATTACTTATTATCACATCTGCGAACGAAGCTTTTAGGTCGCAGATGTAATAAAACTTTAAATCTATCTAAAGTAAAATATTCACTGTGATATTTGCCAATATCTGATATTATATATGTTAATCATCAATATTTCAAATTTAACACTATATTGTATAATGAACTAGGTAAAAGATGAAGGTCGCGAATGACGAACAAACAATAAATTGGCCATGAAATAAATAATAAGCAAACCTGCAACATCTGATGAAAATGATGAGGAATCCTTGTATCTTCTATGTGAATTTTATTAGAATCATCGTAATTCTGATAGAAATGGATTATCATTTTCCAATGGTATTGAAAGTCCTCCAACCTAGAAGCCGGTGGCGCGAGCTAAAATAAGAAAAATAAATTATTAGGAGTTTAATGAGGAAAATTATTTTTTTTATTTCAATACTTACGACATCGGCAGCGGTTTGTAGAACATCGGAAAATCTGCTAAGCATCTTTGCTTTTGTAATTTACATTACATACATTTAACTGTTTATTAGCTGTATAGAATTTTAATAAATGTTTTGGTTCACAGCATTTTTATATTTTATTTTATTACGTCAAAATCGAAGAATACGAACTTGACAAAATGGTAGAATGGAACGTAGGTCCATTTTCCAATAAGAAATTCTAGTGTGATTTTATTTACAGTTGAATATTTATGTTAATGTACTCGAAAATTAATTCTAAGACTATGAAAGTGGAATTTTATTTTCCAATGTAAGTAAATAATTATGAAACTCGTTTTAACAGATGGAATAGATTAAAAATAGGATTAAATTTGAAAAAACAATTTATATATGGTGGCAGTCAGTATGGATTGTCTTTGCTTTAATTTTACCTTTGACGTCAATTGTCAATGTCAGAATATGACAAGCTTCACTACAATGTTTTAATTTTATGTTTTGAGTTTTTCCAAGTGTTATTTGTGATTGTGAATATTTTTCCAAATGATTAATACCCATTGTTTTAATATTACTAAATATTTCGCATTTGTACTTTTAATAAAAGTAGTTATAAGTGACCTAACCTGTACGTATACATGAACTATCATATTTTAAAGGAAGAAACTTTTAGCAAGCTAGCATTGTTCATATGCCTTGGTATTATTTTCCAGATACACAGAATGTCTGACGACGAGGTGATACGTTTCGAGATAACAGATTACGATCTGGACAATGAATTTAATCCAAACAGGCAGAGAAAAGCTAAAAAAGAACATCAGATTTATGGTATACTAGTTTTGTTACCTTTAACTCATATTTGTCACAATGTAACACAAAATAATTGTCAAAGATCATTTAAAACATTGGCCTTGACTTTTTTTAGGTGTTTGGGCAAAAGACAGTGATGAAGAAGATAATGAAGACAATATCAGGCAAAGGACTCGGAAACAAAAAGACTTTACAGCACCAATTGGGTTTGTGGCTGGTGGGGTACAGCAAGCGGGAAAAAAGAAAGATCCAAATAAAGGTAACTTCAAATAAAAATACTTTTTTTATTTAAGAAAATGGAAACTAATATCAGTGAAGAATTAAATTGTAGACAAAATCTGAAATCTAAAATCAGAAATGAGATTATAAATGTGAAAGTTTAGATGGATGTATGCTTGTGTGTTAGAGTTTGTAGCCTAAACGGCTGAACAGATTTCAGTGAAATTCGGCATAGATATTGAGGACAGTCTGGAAGAACACATAGGCTACTCACTTTTGTTCTTTATCAATTCATGAAGGCAAAGTTCCAGACAATTGCTAGTTTTCTATAAAGAAAATTTATAAAAGATTGTAATGTATAATTGCATCACTTTTCTTGTAGCACAAGTTATAACAAAAATTTAGTTAACTCAGTTTATGTAATAATGTAATTTTCTTTATAAAATTTCCCTTAATTTCTTGTTATATTTCACAGAAATTGAACCAAAGGAAGCTTCAACATCCAGACCTACGATAGTAGATAGTTCTGATGAAGAAGTGAATGATGAACCATTACCTACTGAAACTGCTGGTATTCGCAGACAGGGTCAAGGTTTGAAGCCAGCCAACCTTGGTGGCAGTGTCGGGGCATGGGAGAAACATACTAAAGGCATTGGTGCTAAATTATTGTTACAGGTAATAACAATAAGTAATTGAAATCACACAAAATAATTTTTTGTTACTTGTATTGTGAAAATGTACCCATATGTACAGTTGCGGAATTTTGCGGTGTTACATTTAATAAAAACTGCCTTATTCCTTGCAATGAGATAAACTCCACCTCTTCTTATCAACAACCAATTAGCAGGAAATTGTACAAATGAAAGGATAATGATTGAAAGCAACAATGTGCCATTTATAAGCTACTTATAGTTCGGGATTAAAATAACAACGAAATACCAATCGAACACTTAAGTTTATTTAAAACTAGTTTTCACCCATGACTCTGTTCATGCGGAATTAAAAGAAAACAAGTAGCCTATGTGTTCTTCTAGATTTTCCTCTTCATCTATGCTAAATTCCGTCGAAATCCATTCAGCCTTTTAGGCTATAAACTCTAACAAACATCCATCCATCCATCTAAACTTTCGCATTTATAATATTAGTATGATTTCTTAGAATTTTCAATTTAAAATTACTTTATTTTGGATGGAAACTTATAGTATAGATTGTATTATTTTACACACTATTATTTGTACTTATAAAAATCTATTTACAGATGGGTTATCAACCAGGTAAAGGCCTTGGTAAAGCACTCCAAGGTATATCTGCACCTGTGGAAGCCACTGTGAGGAAAGGCCGAGGTGCTATTGGTGCTTATGGACCTGAAAAATCAACTGTATGTAGAATTTTAATTATTATTATATTTTTATAACATAAGGTGGCAAACGAGCAAGCGGCCACCTGAATCTGTCAAAACGGCGAAGCGACTGCTGCCCATAGACATCCGCAATTGCAGATGCGTTGCCTACCCATATCCGACTATTATTATTTTACTACTAGCTTTAGCCCGCGACTCCGTCCGCGTGGAATAGAAAAAACTATGCAGCCTATGTGTTCTTCTAAACCATCCTCTACATCTATGCCAAATTTTATTGAATCTGTTCACCAGGCTACAAATTCTAACAAACATCCATACATCTAAACTTTCGCATTTATAATATTAGTAAGATTGTTAAACTTTAAAAGGCTTTGGGCCTGTCCCACCACTGGCTGATAGAGGCTCAGATAGCTTAAAATAATGTCACTGTCAGATAAGGGAACAAAATCCGATAAATCCATCACATATTTTACATGATGGATTGTTATCAAATTACAATTTGGTCCAATAGGCCCTTAATATTTTTTTTATTTACTTGAAGAATATAAATAGATAATAGAAATCATATAGCTTAACTTAGATTACCTTTATATTTAGCAAAAAGCTAAAAAAGAAGAGGAAAAGCGGCTCAAGGACAAGGAAGACCAGGAGAAGGGGAGCTCGGAGAAGAATTACAACTGGAAGAAATCTCACAAGGGGCGGTACTTCTACCGAGATGCAGCGGATGTCATACAAGAGGGTAAACCCACGATGCATACTATTGGCAGGTACTTCTAGAATATTCCATTTTCTGTGTACAGGAGTGTAAAACGCTGTTTTCTTATTTGAGTTATGGTATTAATATTAATTTAGTCAACCAACCCGCAGTGGGCCAGTGTGGTTGTCTATGGCCTAGTCACCCTAACTCAGGGTAGGCTCCGAGCCCCTCGGTGGGGACGTATAGTGAGCTGGTAATGATGATTAATATTAAATGATTTTTGTATATGAGTAGTATTAACCATAGACAAACTGGAAATGGATTTGTTTAAAAAATCAGTTTTTTTAATGAAATTTATAAATTTGGTAATTCTGCTCATTTCACTTTATTCTGTTGAAGAGAAAAAAAATACATATAATAATTGAGATATCTTATGTATAGTTTTCTTTGTATCAAGCGTAGTTGCTTTACTCACTTAACTTATACTTAGGATACCAGTTAATTAATTTGATAAAACGAATGGGCTGGCTCGTCCGCTATATCACGACCACACATTAAGGAATATCCTTTTTTGACGAATTCCGAATGCAACTTTCTTGTTCACCTTATTCTCTGAAGTTAGAGATGATACAGTGAATAACATTCGATATATCTATTGTGCAGTAGTTCGCTAGCGCGCGTGCCAGTGATAGACATGACTGGCAAGCAGAAGCGAGTACTGTCGGGGTACCACGCGCTGGCGGCCGCCGCGCCGCGCTACGAGCACGAGCCGCGCCGGCAGCTCAGGCACTTCTCAGCGCCACAGCTCACACACAACCTGCAGCTAGTCGTCGACAGCTGCGAACAGGTATACACACAACAAATATAGGCGTCACCAGTCTACACTCTAAAATGACATTTTTCATACATTTAAATTTAAATATACCCCATTGGTTAATGTGTCATGTTGATTTAATTCATACTAAAAGTTTCAACAAAAATTAAGGGGTACACCGACAAGTACTCTGACTGTATTCTAATTTTATTATAGTCAAATTTTGATTGTATAAGTGAATCTCTAGCCATTTTGGTATATAATTTTTACATAGATTTTAAAAAGCTTTATTGCATAATAACTCGAGTGTAGTAATTAGAGGGCGTAAATATATAAGACTAACTGTCGCTCGCGACTTCGCCCGCGTGATATTAAAAAAAAAACAATGAAAAGATATAGCCTATGATTAAAGATTAAAAATTATATAGATTAAAAATAATCTAAAAATAATTTAATTTAAAAAGAATTTTTAAATACGGCCCAGTAGTTTTTCCGTGAATCGAATACATACAAAAATCTAAAAATACAAAAATACAAATCTTTGCTCTTTATAATATTAGTATAGATATGGGCGTAGGTCTATACTCTTTATATGTGAAAGTGAATGAAATATTACAAGATTGTATAATTTGTAGGACATCATTCAAAACGCTCGTGAACTCCAGGCAGCAGAAGATGAAATTGTAGTTCTAGAACGAGACTTAGAAGAATGCAACATGAAGCTGCAAGAACAGGATGTAGTGATAGACAAAGTGCAAGCTATCACCCAGAGGATAGAAGAGTTGAACAAACCTGATCTGTCGCTGGAGAAGTCCTATGAAGTTCTAGAAGATTTGATGGTATGGCTTCATAACTAGTAATATTTCGGTTTTGTCCGTCTTAAAAATACATAAACGTATCCTATTTTACTCTGTGATAATACTTTCTATTGGCTTTTGAAATAATTTCAGTAATTTTTTTTCTAAGGTAGCAAACAACTAAGCGGCCACCATCACTAAATTAGTTATATGTGAATATTCTATTTGACACAATCTTTCTATACTTTCTTCCATCTTCCTTTATTGTATCCACCCATACTCAATTGTAATGCTTTCTTGTTTATGTCACTATTACGGTAATGTCCATACTTACCTTTTGCTTCTCAATTTATCCAAAAACGCTTGTTAATACAGTCAAACTAGCGGTGTTCCATATTAAAAGCTAAAGTCTTGTTTTTTTGTATATTTTACAACCAGTTGCGAAACAAAAACGCAGCTTTTAAATGTGTCTAAGAAAAGTCAGTTAGTGATACATGGCTAGTTTCTTTTCGTAACTATCCACTAGCTTTCGCTCGCGACTCCGTCAGCGTGGAATTAAGAAAAGTGAATAGCCTATGTGTTCTTCCAGATTATAGTTTACGCATATGCCAAATTCCATCGAAATCCGATCAGCTGTTTAGGCTACAAACTCTAATAAACTTCCGTCCAACTAAATTTTCGCATTTATAATATTAGTAAGATTCGTTTGAACTCGCTGCTATCTAATTGGTGAGGGAGAGGTGCAACAAAGCGATTTCTCCTAAAGTGGAATACTGCGGATTTCCCTGACTGTACATGAAAATAATTTCGTCTCCAGGAAACATATCCTTTGGAGTATGAGATGTTCGGTCTGGGCACGATCGGGGGCACGATAGTGAGTCCGCTGCTGAGCGCGCTGCTGGCGCAGTGGGAGCCGCTGCAGAGCCCCGACGAGCCGTTGCCCGTCTTCCTCAAGTGGAGGAAACTGCTCACGGAGCCCGCCTACAATAGTCTCCTCTGGCAACATTTTATACCTAGGATCACGGCTGCAGCCGAGTTAGTATGAATTTTGTTCTTTTTCTCTTTAGGTGTCGAGTAATGAGAATTTATTTTATAGAAAACCAAAGTATCTCATGTGAAATTCCGGTTTGTTTCGATTTTATTGCTTACATTCCGTAAAACTTTCAATTCATATTTTCAAATGTCCACGAAGGCCTTTAACATTGGCTAACAATTACCATTACCATGGCAATCTCGCTTCTTTGTTGCTATTGGTTTGTAGTTTTTATTCCTTTCCCTCATGATAATGTTTTCCAATGTATTCACCCTCCAAATTAAATAGCGAGAACATATATAGCCTATAGCATGTCGTGAATGTAGACCCTTTTATAAAAAATAGAATTCTTTAAAAATATGCTTTGATTGCTGACATCTTACATAACAAAGTGTGCGTTTCCGTTTCATTACATTAGTTTAGATAGATATATTAGAATACATTATTTTTAACCTTTTTAAATCTTCGTAATCCAGAAATATGACAATCAATTAGAAAAAAAATTATAGATGTACAAAGTATCTTATGTGGATCGTCTTGCTTATTTTCGAATAGTGACATATGAAGTCACAACACTCTGAGATAGCAATTGCCGGGTTACATCACAATGGATTTGAAGCAACGGCGGATCCAGGATGGGGGGTTATGACTCCCCCCCTGGCACCAAAGCTGGATCCGCCCTCGATTTGATGATGATGGTGTGTTAGGACGTGGAACCCGCGGCGGGGAGGCGCGATGCTGCGCGTGCTGGAGCGCTGGGCGGCGGCGTGCCCGCAGTGGGTGGTGCGGCAGTGCGCGGCGCGCGCGGTGGTGCCGCGCCTGCTGGCCGCCGTACGCGCCTGGGACCCCACCCGCGACACGCAGCCGCTGCACCACTGGCTGCTGCCCTGGCACCAGCTCGCCGGTACGTTGCACTAGCGAAAAACACGCTATTAGCGTAAACTTTATAGCTATTGCTCGCGATTTCTTGCGAATTAAAAACGCAAAAGTATGTAGTCTATGTATTTTTAAACTAGTCCATGTTTGTGCCAAAATTCTTCTTAACTTTATTTTTAACAGTTCTGGAAGTCCATTCAACAAGCATCCATCTAAACTTTCACATTTAATATGGCAGACTGTTCGTTTATTAATAAAAGATGTTATCATGAAATATTGACGTAACACTTGTATTGAGATTGTATACAGTTAGTTAAATTGAACTTTCTGTAATATTAAAAAAAACATTAATATGATGTATTAGCGTTATTTATAACGAATCTATACTCAATATTATAAAGAGGAAAGATTTGTATTTTTTTGTATTCGGGTCACGTAAAAATTACTGGGCCAGTTTTAAAAATTCTTTCACCTTTAGAAAGGTAATTTATCTGTGAGTAACACCGGCCATGTTTTAACTATTTTTTTTTTAATTTCACATTGGCGAAGTCGCGAGGGACAGCTAGTATCTGATAAAGAAATTAATATATCTGTCCACAAGTAAAGTTTGTTACCAATAATCTCCAAAACTACTGTACCAATTTTCATACAACTTTGTTAATACAATAGCCAATACATCCAGGAATGTTTTAGTATGAATTTAATAGGAATATATCTGGTGTGCAGGCCATGAGTTAAGTATAAGCACGTACCCGCTGGTGCGGTCGCGGCTGGCGGGCGCGCTGGCGGCCTGGCACCCGGCCGACGGCTCCGCGCGCGAGCTGCTGAGCGCGTGGCGCGGCGCCTGGGGCGAAGCCCTGCGCCCGCTGCTGCAGCTGCACGTGCTGCCCAAGCTGGAACACTGCCTGCTGCACGCGCCGGTAGACCTCGTCGGCAGGGAGAACAGTAAGTACTTGGATAACACCCTTATTGTATGGAGTCACTAGTGTCAGCGTTCTAACTGTAAAGTTACATGTGACATTCACTATTCCATATTAAAGGGTTTTAGTCAATTATTGTTCATTGTGAGACTTCACGTATACATTATTACAGATATTCAAAATCATGACGCTTTTTTTATTGTGAAATTGCCGGGTAAATAAGATTTTTTATATGTATACTATGAAATTTTAAAACCACAAGGGTCCTTTTTTATGTTATAAGGTGTCAAACTTGAGATGTCACCTAAATCTCCCGACTACTATGATAACTCAAAAACTAATTGGCTGATTTCAAAAATTCTTTCACTGTTAAAAAGCCACGTTATCAGTGAGTAACATGGGTAATATATATTGTTTTAATTCAGACAGCTTATAAATAAATATGTTATGTTGTGTAGACGCGTGGTCGTGGTGCGTGCAGTGGACGGAGGTGGCGGGCGCGGCGGAGGTGGCGGCGCTGGCGGCGCGCGCGCTGCTGCCGCGCTGGCTGGCCGCGCTCGCCGCCTGGCTCAACACCGCGCCCCCGCACGCCACCGTGCTCAACTCATACACCAACTTCAAGGTAACGAGGGAGGGGCTAGTTCAAGACACGCCCACCGACACCTCCCACATTGCTCACTAGCGCCAATACTTTGTTGTGACGTAGATTTGAAATTATATTATTCTTTTTTATATCATATTATTAGGCGGCAAACGAGCAAGCGGTCACCCGAAATGGCGAAGCGAATGATGCCCATAAACATCCATAATTGTAGATGCATTGCCTACCATTAATCGACGAAGGAGACGCACATAAAGAGGACATTTCCCCTTCCTGTGCATCTCCTCTACCGTCAAATCCACTTTTCCTTGCCATTCCTTCCTCTTAAGAAAAGGGTGGAAAGGGAAAGGGACTATAATTAGGCCTCCTGTACCACAGTCATCAGACAAAACTCGAAATCTTTTGCCCGCGTAGAATTTAAAAGAACAAAAGCAAGTAGCCTATATTTTCTTTCAGACAAACCAAATTTCATCGACATCTGTTCAGCAGTTTAGGCTACAAATTCTAACAAACATTCACCCATCAAAACTTTAATTTGAAAAAATGTGGTATTGGTACACTTAACTCCAATTTTTTTTATAAATGAAACTAGGTTTTGTCTATATTTCTTTGAACTTAAGTCTGTAATTTTCATTTTTCAGAAAACATTTCCCGAGGAGGTTTTAAAAGAGCCACCTGTCCGTGAGGCTTTCCGTAAAGCGTTAGACATGATGAACAGGAGTACGGACATCGACAGCGTAGAGCCTCCCCCTCCCCCGCGCTTCACTCTTCCAGATAACAAAGAAGGCTCCAAAATCAATGAAATATTAGCCGTTACTAACCCTCATAAGAGTTTCTCAGAACTCCTGGAGACCAGATGTATAGAAAAAGGGATAACTTTCGTACCAATTCCGGGGAAAACCAGAGAAGGGAGACCTCTATATAAGATTGGAATGCTGCAGTGTTATGTAATAAGAAATGTTATTATGTATTCAGAAGACGGAGGAAGGAATTTCTTACCGATCGGTATGGATCGGTTATTAAATATGGTTGAAGAATAATTAATTGCAATAAAGATATCGATTTATATTGCATTTCTATAAATCCACTAATATACTTCTACACTTAATATAATAAAGCGTAAACATACATTTTGTTATTTAAAATATCAACAAACACAGTTTATTTTTGAAGAAACCTTTTTTTAATAAAAAGCCAAACGCTACACGCTATAGGCTAAATAATTACACCCTGTTTAATTTAGGGGATGAATTAATTAAAAAAAAAACGTCGAGAAAGGGATAAAAACTGCAAACCCATAGCATTGAAGCATAATTGCCATGGTAATGGTAATTGTTAATGACAAAGGGTTTAGTTGCCAAATAAACATTTAAATTTTTGATGTGTGCTACAGTTTTACAAAATGTAAAAAACAAAATTTTGTATAATACGCAGATTAAACCGCACGGAAACAGCTAGTCTGGAATAAATTAGTTAATCAAGTTATGAATAAAAACCAGTAATATTATGCATAACAATTTATTTATAACTTGTATAATAAGTGGAGATTTTGTTCTTAAACTAATTTGAACTTAAACAGGCAAACGTTTTTATAAAATTTACTTTGTTCACAGATAACTAAGATAAATTCGGATTAAAATGGCACTTACGATATAGTGGAGTGTATATTAATATTAAAATAAATGCTAATAAAATACTGGATAAAACATGTATATAGAAATTCGAAAATGTACTCTACTAAAATTAAAGAAAAACTATTCTAGTAAAAAATAAAATATTGATGTTCTATATCCATAAAAAAAGCCCATTACATATATTTAACTGTTTAGGTTATACTGCTCGATTTTTCAGTTAAAACTGTGCACATGTAACTCTACAGTTCAAATTTTGTGTACACATTGTTAAGAATGTATATTAGAGGAAGTTTGAAAGTAGCGCCAGTGGTGGAGAAATTGAGAAGCAAAAGGTTAGCGTGGTATGGACATTATGCGACGAAACGATGAGGACATAAACCAGAAAGTGTTAAGATTGAATGTCGATGGCTACAAAGACAGAAAAAGACCGAAGAAAGTATGGATGGATTGTGTGAAAGAGGATATGCTTAAGAAAGGAGTGGATTCAGATATGACGGCTGAGAAATGTATGGAAGAAGCAGCACATACTGTGCCGACTATCCGTAAGTGATTAGGGCAAGTGGATGATGATGATGACTTCTACCTAAACAGTTAAAATTTAAAGTAAGTAATGGGCTTAAAGTTTTCTAACATCTCTATATATTCGATTTGAGCCTCTTAAAATATTCGAAACATAATATATTCGATATAAGTGAATAAAACATTAGTGGAGTATTTTTTTTAAAAAACTTCAAGCTTTTAAATTCTGGTATCGGTATGCTCTTACACATTGTATGCCATTAGCAACACCTAAAGCGAAGTTACAGATAGACAGGGAATAGTTAATTGGTCTGATAACTAGACAGTAACGGGTCCAGATAAGTCCAGTAGCGGATAAAGTAGCCGATTGTGTGGTAGATACTTTATCTAAAGGACGTCTATAATCGTCAATAGATGCTGCCACGAGCGCCTGAAAAAAAAAACATATATGTAACTATTTATTTATGAAATTCAGATATCAGACTTTTTATCTAAAGATAGTCTAGACTACATTTCTGTAGAATGTTATCTTTACCTTGAAGAGAATCTTTAAATTGTCTAAATAAATCTCGGAGATAAGTAACATTTTTGTAGAGAAATAGAAGTACTCAAATTATGCCAGCACTGAAATGTTTATACAAAAAATCGGTAGATTTTAGATAACATATATTTTTTAATTTGTATATGTTATTATTTTGGTAAAAATGAAGTCTGATATCTGAATAGAAAATATGTATTTAATCTAAAAACTAGAATACACAACAAAAAGCAAAACCATTAAAACATAAATCAAGTCACACATGTTATTTAGATTTTTCTAGTAATACATTAGTTACTAAACTACTAGTAAAATTACACTACTTTATAGTAAAAGGAAGATAATTAAAAAAGTTAGCAAATCAAGTTACCATTTTATACCATTATTTACTGTAGAATTAAAAGAATTGTAACAAATAAAACTAAAAAAGTTCATACAGGAAAACATAAGTGGAAATACAAAACAATGCATTTATTTACTATATAGCACCTACGCATTCCATGCATCTCATGTTATTGTGCATGCATTGTAAATATATTGTGTTAGTTACTGCAAATTTTATTCAAATAAAAGCCTTTATAGAACTCTTCATGCAAACCATTTATATGCTATAATTACCTTCTTTGTTGAACTTCAATAACCAGAGATAATATTTTTTTTTTTAAAATAAATAGGAAAAATGTAATTCAAAAGATGGATAGTGAGAAGATGACAAAAAGAAAAGATAGGAAAATGTGGTAAAAACAGATTTGTATATTTTTTAAAAACTATCAAAAGGTGTACATACAAAAATAGACAAATTTTAACAATATTACTTTAATTTGTTTCTAACATGATTTAACAATACCCGTGATAATGTGAACAACTCAAAATATACACCCCAAGATTTCGGCATTTTATTTGGCACGTCGAGAACACGAGTTCTCTTCCGCCCGACGTGCCAACTCAAGTACCAAGCCACTTGATAGTTAGTCATTTTTTTAATCTGCTACAAAAAAGAAATTAAACAGCCAGTTTCAACAATGTGGCTGATTTATTTTTCTTTTATACATCACAGATTAAATACGTCGAATTGTAATAATAACAGTTACATTTATCATTTAGGGTGGGTTGCATCATATCGCCGGTTATCGTAAAAGTTATAGTTATAATTAATAGGGTTACAAGTGCAAAAACATATTTTCACAGAGGTT